AACGTTACGTCACATATCTTGCATACTAATTACTTTCGGAGCAGCGTGACGTCATTGGCGGCATCCCTTTGTACTCCAGATGGGGGGGTTTCACTACTAACGTGGCGCTCTATGGAAAAGAACACGCATCCTCCGCTAGCAGCTACTCCTGGATTTCAGATTGTCAGTACGAAATGCAAGATTATGATTCTGCTTTGGAGTCACGTCAACAGGCACTTGATATCGGACTAAAGCTTTATGGGCACAACCATGCAGATACCGCCAACAGCTATTACCTGATTGGAAAAGCACAATTTGAGAAAAAAATTACAAGTCAGCAATGCAATCGTTCGAGCAAACACTTGATATCAAACAAAATCTTCATGGCAAAGTCCACCCAGACGTTTCGGTCGCTTGTCATCATATCGGAGTGATAAAGTATCTCTTGAAAGAGTACGATTCAGCTCTGCATTGGCACCAGCAAGCCCTGGATATTAGCGTAGCGCTCTATGGAAAGGAACACCCAGCCTCCGCTACAAGCTACTTCAGCATTGCAGAATGTCAGGGCGAAATGCAAGATTATGATTCTGCTCTAGAGTCATGTCAACAGGCACTTGATATCAGGTTAAAACTTTTTGGACAGAAGAGCCAAGCTACAAGCGACTGTTATGACGAACTGGAATTTATTCGAAGTCTAAAGAAAGTTTGCGAATCATCACTCAAGCTACAGAGCAAAAATTCTTGAAAGAAGAACAAAATAACAAGTTGTAGTAGCAATATATCTATAGTAACACTGATGGTTCGAGTAAATACAGGTTATAAAAGAACACGACTAAGTGACATATAATAACCAATTAACATCAGATTTTCTGTTAGAGAACATGCATGATGTAATTTGCCCACTTTTTTAGCCAGTGCAAATCAATGATGTTTTACCCTGTCTTTCAACAGGTGCTTTGTAATAATATTGGAGAATTAAATAAATTGAATTTTTTGACATAGTTATATTTATCTACGAATTTGTAAAAGAATTTAGGTGATAGTTGAGTAGGTTTTCTTTGAATGTTCTCCGTCAGGATGTATATTAAAAGACAGGGCAACTCTCTGAAAGTCACTCTCTGATGGCATTTTTTTGTTACAAGCTGCCAACTGTCTTTTCCGTATAGCCTAAACATTGGTGAACAAGACTACAGGGTGTATCAAAATAAACGCAATTCATCTTTTGTGCTTAATAACTTTCGAAATACTATTTCTAGTTAAACGCTTTTAGGCTTACTTCAAAGCCTGTTATTTTCTCTTTCAAACAAACTATTATCCTTGTCCCCAATGCTAGTAATAATTGCACAGGAAAAGATTTAGTAAAACCTATCATTTTTAGTTGCTGTTTAATTATGCAAGTTTACTATGTTATTGTTTAGTCGGTTTAAATGTTAG